AAAATCCAACTGCTCCTCACAGAGCCCCTTGAGTTAAGCTGGGAATATTCACGCCATCTGAACTGTGACATGATTAAAAAGATGAAGTATGGGGCTGGGATTGTGGCTCTGTGGTAGAGCGCTCGCCTAGCATGCATGAGGCACTGGATTCAATCCTCAGCACCACATAAAAATAAAATAAAGATATTGTGTCCACCTAAAACTAACTAACTAACTAAATATTTTTTAAAAAGATGAAGTATGTGAAGGAATATCTAGTTCTTGTGAGGCTGAGGCAGGAGGATATCAAGTTTGAGGCCAACTTGGGCAATTTAGCAAGACCCTGTCTCAAAATTTTTTGAAAAGGACTGGGGATGAGCTCAGTGGTGGAGCAATTGCCTAGCCTGGGTAAGGTCAGGTCTTGGGTTCAATCCCGGTACTGAAAAAAAAAAAAAAAAATCCAGATCATGTAATTCCTGCAAAGTCTGAGGCTGGGAAGTAGCATCATGTCAGTGTTTCTATCTTTATTCAAGTGACGCAGTCTAAAAGTAAAATAAAATAACAAAACAAAGCAGCCCATAATCCTTAGTCACAATTTTAAAATCTCAAGCTTTGAAAAAAGTTTTCCCATTAAATTTTGTGTCCAAACTTGATCTGATCTTGTTTTTATTATTTTTGGTGTCAATATTCATGACAAACTGCAGAATATTGTCCCAGATCACATTGGGAGAGTTGTTCAATGGATGACAAATGCATATTACCTTCCTAAAATATGAAAAGCTCTAAAACACATTTGGCTGCAAAGGTTTTGCATAAGAGACTGTGACTTGCAATGGAAATTCTGACGACACACAAACCCAATGTGGGGGACTCCTAATCCCAGGTGGGGACTCACCAGCCTCCCTAGGCTGTCGTGTCCTTGGGGATCCCTTATGAACCCAGAGATGAGTAAATCAGTTCGAGCCAAGGAGCATGTTGAGTGGTTTTCTCCCAAATCACGACTCACACTGCATTGTGTCTCTGAATCTCCTAAGGATCTTGTAAAACGCAGATTCTACTTCAGAATGAGTGTGAGTCCTGCATTTTTCATCCCCAGGCCATGTATGTGGGGCTGGGGCTGTCCTAGACTCTGGGCAGTCCTAAGCAACACAGTGAGTGGAGATGGGGAGTCACCCACCTTTGGCTGGGACCTGCCAAACAATGGCCATCAACTAATCATAAAGCCCATCCACCTCGGTCACGGTCTTCTTCTCCATCCTCCATTGCCCACTGACCTGCTTCCCTGTTCCTTCCCAGATGGCTTGTAGCAGCAGCACCTGCCTCTGCACCACGCCTGGCTTGGCTCCACCAAGTCTCATGACTCTGCTTGCCCAGATCCAGGGTACTGCTTAGGCCAGGCGCTTTTCCAGCTGGCTGACCTTGCCCCCCACCCCCACCCCAGGCAATAAACTAAATTAAACTCCCAGATTCCTGAGATGCCTCACTATCTCTCCTGGGAATCTCCCCAGAAAAATTTTCCACTGTTTGCAAAGGACTCCGTGGTCCTGACCACCCACAGACATTATGATGATGCCTTGACTCACTAGACACTTAGTGACCGCTAAACAACTAGTGACCCGGAAAATGGCCCCCACCTGTGTTGTTTACCTCACTGCTTGCTGTGCCCTGACTGCTTTCTTACCTGCCCCACCTGCTTACCTTTAAGTTCTGGATTCTGAGTTGCAGAAAACTCTGACTTATTTTCCAAGATAGCTTTCTTACTACAAAAGTAATATGTATTCACTTGAAAACTTAGGAAATACAGACGGAAAGAAGAAAATGAAAATGTTAGCACCTCTCACCCAGAGATAACCAGGGATGTTTAGTCTTTATACATAAATTTGGGTTTATAAAATCTGCCTCATACTATACAAATCTGTTGGTAAACTGTTTTCCCTCTTGCATTTATAGTATATTGTGACCATATTTACAAGTCAATGAAAAGTCTTCTGGAACATCATTTTAAATGATGATATAGTTTTCTACTTAACTGATGGGCTTTTGGGCTGTTGTCAATCATTTGTGGTTAAAAATAAAACTGCAATGAACATCTTCATGCAACCAAAACATATCTCTTGGCTACTCCTGGGGAATTAAATTATTAAAACAGAGTATATGAACATGTCATGTTTTGCACTGGTATTGTCAAGCCGGGATGCATGACTTCCAAACTGTCAAATACACACTGGATCCTCAGTGTCTTGAATCCCCACTGACCTTAGTTAACCAGCAGAGAGAGAGGAAAGCAGGGAATTCCGAATCAGAGAGGAACCGGAAGGACTGTGTATTAATTTGAATCACATCACACTGTCTCCACTCAGAAAACTCTTTCGAGGTCTTCTTCAGAGATCTCAAACTTCCCAAAGTCTACAATTTTATTTTCACACAATCTAAGCTAGGCTGAAGTCTGTAGTCATTTCTGCATTTATTCTTCCATCCAATTTTTATATATTTAAAATTAAGGGATTAGATCAATAAGGAATTGGTTAAGCAATTTATGGTATAGCTAGTCAGTGAAATTTAAAAACTGAAGAAAACTATGTACTCACACAGAATGACATCTCAGACACATTATTAAGTGAAAAAGGAGAGGCTTATTACGGCCCATACAATGTGCACATTTGGGTAAAAGGAGAAAGAGGAACACGTGGACATTTTGTTTGAATTTTTGCCTTTGGAAAGAAGCAAAGAAACATATTACCTTAATTTCTAGGGAAATTAGGTAGCTGGAAGAGGAGAGTTGCCTTGCAAAATCAAACCTCTCTCAGGTGATCCATGGGAATGTATTGCCTATTCAAAAATAGAATTGAATAACAAAATCAAATCGGGGAATTGGGGCATTTGATTACATCCCCAATCAGATATGTTTATTTATTTCTGTTTATTCTCCAAATGCCATTGAAAAGATCACTAACAGAATCAGAGGACTATAAGTACAAGGAGAAGGTTAGAGGGGACATGAATATAATTGGGGACATGATATGGGTGATGGAAGACATCCTCGCTGTCTTTTGGAAGACAGTGAAGCCATGGCACAGATCGCAGAACCAAACATACTTGTTTATATTTTCATGTGTATAATAATCACATATATATGTATACAAATACATATATTCCATTTGCATTTCTTTTCTCATGACTTGCCTGATTGTAAAAAATTTTAACAGGTCTAGTTAACATTTACTTGGGTTTCTGAGTGCCATTCACTGTTATAGTCTGTGTATTATCTCATTTAATCTGCTGGTCAAGTACATGGATTATTGTCCCCATTTTCAGGGAGGAAACCGAGACTTGGAGAAGTTAAGTAGTTTGCTTATCTCTGCTGCTAGTAAGCAGAGTCTGGATTCTGAGCGAGGACTCTGACCCCATACAGACCTACAAGTCTGACTTGCTGGAGAACCCAGACTCTCCCTGCCTATCCTAAACTGCCTCTCCTCTGACATTTTTTCCACTGGATTATTTGCATTTTGCAAGAGCTCTTTGTCTTTTTATTGCAGGTGCTTAGAAGGGGGAAGGGTGGGAGGGTCTGTAGGGTACCCTGCCTTTGGTCAAAGCCCGGCTGTGCAGGAGTCAGGAGAGGTCAGCAGGAAGCAGCCAGAACAGTCTAGGACAGCGGAAGAAGACGAGCCCCACACAGAACAGAGGCCTGCGAGGGTGAGTGGACTTCCACCCCCTCAGAGACAGAGCGAGAGTGACTCACAGGGAGGGGGTGGGGGATGAAGAGACCAAAGCTCCCAAGTGCCCCCTGTACACACAGACGGTCCAAAGTCATCAGAGGGAAGCCTGCAGCAGAGAGAGCTAGATACCCTGCAAATGAGACCCGCCCCAGGCAGGCTGGAGGCAGAAGTCTCATCGCAGAGCACATGCTTGCAGGGTGGCACTCAGGAAGGAGAAGGGGCTCCAAGGGAGCAGGTAAGGGTAAGGGAGCCAGGGAGGGTCATGGAGACATGGGGTCACAGGGCCTGGAGCCTGGAGACAGCACTGCCTCATGGTGGGCTCTGGCCTGGGATGCAGGCTCCTGGGCTCATCCTTCAACAGTTCTTAGCTCTGAAGCCTTGGACAAGTACCTCCACCATCTTGTTCCTTGGCTTCCCCATCTGTCAAATGGGTGTAAAAATGGTCAAGCTAACTCTGCACTGAACTCCTGCTGAGTTGTGCTGGGCACTCACAGGCTACAAAGTGGGGTCATTGGCCTCTTTAACAGAAGAACATGAAGTGCAGAGATTTAGCCATTCAGGATCAGCAAGAGTCTGGTTTCGAAGGCTGCCTGCTCTTTACTCCCATTCTGCCTCCTTCATAGGGTGGTTTTAGAGAATCAAACGGCCTTTTGCAAATAGAAACAAGCAGTTAAAGGCGATTATATTATCTAGGTGTTGCCACACAGTTCTGCCAGTTCCCTATCTCTGTCATGTTGGTGTTGGAAACAATGGGGGCCACTGCAGACAGTTAATATTTGGTAATGACTTGTGCACAGGGTGGTGTTTAGGATTCACTGTCCCCGAGCTGCCCTGGTCTGGGGGTGGTGGGTGATCCATGGCACAATGTCTCCTGGAGAGACTGGCCTCTGACCAGCTGACCTTGGAAGCACAGCGGGTGCCTCACTGATAAGGGCCAGGCTTTAGTGACCATCCTCCTCCTCCTCAGCCCTCCACAGCCTTGGCCGTGGATCTTCAGAAAGGGTAGCTCTGATCTGGGGGGAAAGGGGAGAGATTTTTAAGAACAGTGAGACAAGCTGATCTGGAATAAAGTTCAAATTTTCAGGTAAGAGAATTTTTAAAATAAAACACAATTTATAGTCTTGCCCCAGAGATAGCCACTGTTGATATTTGGTTGCTTATCTTTCCAGACAGTTTTCTTTGAAAATAGGATTGTGTTGTAATGTGGTTTTATAGCTGGTTCTTTTTCACATTACATCATGGATATAGTTCCATATTAATAAATGTTCTATCACATCATTTCCAAGGCTGCAGAATGTCTCTTCCACAGATAGAGCAGAATTCACCTCGTCAGCCTCCTAGTATTCGATAACGAGGTGATCATCTGTAGCTCACCACTGCTCAAGGCCTTGGGCATCTCTATAATCAAATCTTTGCACAGGCCCTTGATTAATTCCATGGAAGAGATTTCCAGTTCTGAGTCAAGGCTATGAACACTTTAAGGTTTTTGATGATGATTGAAGTTCTGTTTGTGATGCTGGAATTCAGGGGCTCCTCAAAGATGAGTGGAGAAAATGTTCTCACGGCTTTGAAGTCAACTGTAACTCTTCCTCTCTCTCTAACCGGTTTGCAGAAATAAGGCCAACCACCTCTTACACAGTCCTTAACTGGGCACTGGGCCTACCTAAAAGTCTCGCTCCTCTTAGCTTTCTTTTCACAAGAGAAAATTGAGGCCTGTGGGATGCAGCAGATCTGGGTTCGTGAGCTCCACAGCTTGGCTCCAGGGTCTACATCTGGTTCTGGGAAGTTGGATGATTCTGTCTCCAAAGACATCATTAATGTCGTCCCCTTTTGTCCTCTTCACCCTCAGCTCACTAATGTCACACATCACCGTCACCTAACTGGCCTTCCATTTCCAGTCTTGTCCCTCTCAGTCTGTCCTCTGCTCTGAAGCTGGAATGCCATTTGAAACATGGAAATAGTAACACAGATCAGACCACCTCCCCGAAAGAAATTCAGATGCTTCCTGAGCTTCAAGCCCTTCCACCTCCTGCCCTTCTCCGGCCGCACTTCTTCATTGCTCATCACTCATTACACCTCTCCTTGCCTCACTAGCTCCAAGTGCCACGAGGTCAAAGACGGGTTGATTTTGCCCACTGATGAAATGCCTTGCACAGCGCCTGGCATACAGTAAGCACTCAATAACTATGAATGAATGAATGGTCCACTGAATAAAGCACTGGCACAGACCTTTGATCAAGTGCTTCTGTTAGGGCTGAGCCATCTTATCTTGCTTATCCTCATTTCCTTCTTCCCTGTGTGGTGCAGTGACCGAGTTTCTAGAAGAAAACCAGGACGCCATGGGTGAGAGAGTAAGTAGGTTCTGCTCCAGGTGTCAGGTCAGTCAGGGGAGATGAGGCCATATCAGGGGTCCAAGGGACTCACAGCCCCCAAAGCTGCCCTTGCATAGTTCCCAGGTTCCTACCATTAGATTCTTATGGCTGTAAAGAACCAGTAAAAGGAGAACACTTCTGCCTAGCCAACAGCACACACCCGGCTTGTGGGCTAAGTGGATGCTGTTGTGTTTCTGTGACAGCAGCATGGTGGTGGACTTGGAATCCAAAGACTCGGGTCCCAGTGTCACCAGAACCAGCTAGGTGGCTTGGGGTGAGTCACTTATCTCCATCTGCAAAGTGAGTGTTAGGAGGGAGAAGTGGTTTTTAAACCTTCCCCCACCAAAAAAACTCAGCTATTTAAATAATTGAAAGGACCAAGATGAGAAACAGATAACAAGCCAAGCATTTCCATTTGAAACAGGGAAGCAGGGCTGGGGCTGCTCCCTTCTGACTGCTCTCCTGAAGTCCCCAAGGCTGGCAGGATGGCCAGCTGTGGGACTCGAAGATCTCAGCGCTGGCTGGCTGTGTTCTAAGAACAAAGCAGAAGGCAGCCAGGTTTGCAGGCCGTGTGGGCACGGTAAGAGATCAGGAGAGGACAAGGGGGCCGGAGGAGGCTGGCGTGCAGAGTTTTAGACCGTGAACCAGGTGAATTTTGCAGCAATAGAAGCACAGGACAGGCAGCCCTTTTGTGCAAGGAAGAGATTCCGGCCATTTGAGAAAAGAAATGAGGAGAGAGGAAGCCCGGACGACTCACTTACCCTTTCCATGATCCAGAAAGGAAATCGCCACCCCTGCCTTTCCAGGCCAGGGACCTCAGGTCTGGGAAGAACCGCCCACAATCACGCAGATACTTGGCTTCCAAGTTCAATTGGTTGCCACGTCCCAGGTGTGTGTGGGGGGAAACTCGGTCCCCAACCTCCCAGCCGCCACCTAGCAGCTCTCTGGCCTTGGCACCAGGCAGGTGCGCTCAACAGGCTGCAGCCTGGGCCACCTGGCAGCTCCAGGTGCTGTGATCTTGCTGCCATGGAGACGGCCCTGGGCTTGGTGGTGAGAAGGCAGTTTCCCAAAGCTTTGTGGATTCAGGAGAGGGAGAGACCAGAACCTCAGGCACTTGTGAGTATTCTGCCTGATCCCGCTGCAGCCTGCACAAGCCCAGGTGGGTGTCTTGATGGTTTCCCTGGACAAAGCAGGGTGGGGGATCCAAGAGACGTCGAGTGCCAGGGAGAGGCTCTGTGAGGGTTGATCTGGGGGCCTGAGCGCGAGGTCCCAGATCAAGGGGAAAAGCTTTCCCAGGGGCCTCTTCATCAGGCCGAGGAGCGGGCCAGGCTGCTCTGGAGGGTTGGCCCTCTAGACCAGGCGGAGGAGGAAAGCAGGCCTGGCGTTTGCTCCCACAGGAAGGACAGACAGGGAATTGACAAAGACCATCTCACCACGGTCAGAGATTTAAGGGAAGGGAGGATCTGTCCTCTAGCAAAACCCCAACCATGGTTCACCCTCTTCTGACGTCAGGGCAGTCAAGGGCCAACACAGTGACCACAAGGAACATTCCCAAAGCCGTCCACAAAGCCAGGGTGCAGTTCCCTCCACTGCCAGTTCATCTGGTGCTGTTGGTTGGGGAGATGGTGACACAGGGGAAGCTGTGTCCATAGACTTAGCTGAATGGCTTAGAAACAAGGTGCTCTGGAAGAAAACGCTTTTGAACCTAAGCTGCTTCTGTAAAATGGGACTGAACAGAACGCCACAGAACGCTGAGCCTCAGACCAAGCTCAGGGACAGAGCTTCACGGGTGAACCTTTGCTCCTTTTTCCTGCCAGGACTTCCCCTGTGAGGCCTCCCAGTGTGGTCTGAGGATGGCCGAGCCCCAGGGCCGGGAGCCTGAGGCTGAGTGTCCTGTCTGCTGGAACCCCTTCAACAACACGTTCCATACCCCCAAAGTGCTGGACTGCTGCCACTCCTTCTGTGTGGAATGCCTGGCCCACCTCAGCCTGGTGACTCCAGCCCGGCGCCGCTTGCTGTGCCCGCTCTGTCGCCAGCCCACCGTGCTGGCCTCGGGGCAGCCCGTCACTGACTTGCCCACGGACACTGCCATGCTAAGCCTCCTCCGCCTGGAGCCCCACCACGTCATCCTGGAGGGCCGGCAGCTCTGTCTCAAGGACCAGCCTAAGAGCCGCTACTTCCTGCGCCAGCCTCGGGTCTACACACTGGACCTAGGCCTCGAGCCTGGGAACCAGACTGCACCTTCCCAGGACACTGCCCCGGCCACCAGGCCTATGCCCATCCCCATCCCCAGCCACTATTCTCTGAGGGAGTGTTTCCGCCACCCTCAGTTCCGCATCTTTGCCTACTTGATGGCTGTCATCCTCAGTGTCACTCTGCTGCTTATCTTTTCCATCTTTTGGACCAAGCAGTTCCTTTGGGGCGTGGGCTGAGCACTCTGTTTCTGGACAAGGAACCAGGCCTTTCTCAGTGGCTGCTGGGGCTGGGGACGCAGAGCCTCATTTGGTATTGTCTTCCTTTGTAGTATTTTATGATCCAGAGATCGGTTAGGCCCTGTTTGCTTCTGGGAGCAGAGAAGGCCCTACCGTGGGCCCATGTGGGCGGGGTTGGGGGATGAAGCTGAAGGGCTGGGAGGCATGCAGAGCTCTGAGTGTGAACCAGGAGTTGTATGGCTATAGAGCCACATAACAAGTTGTGCCAAAGGACTGGACAATGGTATCCAGCGATCTGACTAGTCCAAATAGCAAGCTGTAGCTCTCCCTGGAGCTGTTTTTCCCTCAGTTCATGTTTTATTTTTTATTTTATTTGCTCTTTTCATTATGTGTTGCTAAAATGTTTGGAAAGTAAGTTTGAATTCTGTGAGAAAATGTGCTTGTCTCCCCTTTTCAGCTTTCTCCTTGGATGTCTTTCCACCAGTCCCAGTAAAAAATGGTCTGCATTCCTTAATTCCTTCATTTATTCATTCTACAACCATTAATTGGGCAGGTGCTGAGTGCAGAAGGGAAGAAAAGTGTAAGATTACCCACTGGTGGCTGATGGCCCCCAGCAGCAGGGAAGACGCACTGTCAGCTGCTTCTTACACAGGACAACCTCTTGTCAGTGTGCAGTTCATGGAGTGTTGGGAGATAAGAGTCTAAAGGTGAAAGAAGCCAAGATCAGTGGATTAGGAATCTGGGATTTGGGCTGGAGTTGTAGTTCAGTAGTAGAGCATTTGCCTAGCATGTGTGAGGCACTGGGTTTGATCCTCAGCACCACATAAAAATAAATTAAGGAATTGTGTCCATCTACAACTAAAAAATACATACATTTAAAATACTCTTAAAAAGAAAAGAAAAAGAATCTGGGATTTGGGGCTGTGGATGTTGCTCAGTGGGGAAGCACTTACCTAGAATTTGCAAGGCCCTGGATTCAATCCCTAGCACCATAAATAAGTAAATAAATATGGGTTTACAGGCCTTTATTCTCTCTGTGGGTACAGAGGTCTGTTTAGATGGTGCAGGGTACAGCTCTGACTCCCTCCTGGAAGTACTGGGATTCTGGCCTCAGAAGGTAGGATGCAGCCCGGGACACAGGCAAAACTTTACTTCCATCCCAGGCCTGCTGTGGGGGACCTATTTCTTACATGAAGAAACCAAGAACCTAGGAGCCTTGCAGAGTCTAAAACCCTCATTTCTGCTTTTCTAGTTTTAGTTTGCCTGGTGGCCCAGAGCTCTGAAACAATCCCAAAGTGGTTAACCCACCATCACAATTACAAAAAGTTGGCATTTTGAGTTTCTTTTAATTGGTGAAATAAACTATCAGAACTTGAGTCAGTTTTATTTGGTCTAAATCATATTCAATTTAATGGAAGTATCCTCTATAAATCCTTGTTAAGGGTCTTAATGTACAAGGTATTCCAAAAGAGCCAAGAAATATATTTTTAGTAAAAACAACAGTTTTCAGCTCCAATTTGTAGAAAAATTCTCCATTACCAAACTGGAAAACTGCCTATGTAACCCGCCAGGGACTAGCAACCTCCTCTCCATTGGTGTCCTTCCGAGATAATTACACTGAGGCTGGGACTGCACCTCTCCCAGTTGAATTCATTTCTCTACTCATCTTTCCTCCTTAACTTTGCAGCAGGTAAGTTAGGCAATGATCTCACCATATTTTCCAAGATGGGTGGGCCAAAGTGGCTCAGGGCAGGGGACAGAGAGAGGAGCTGGGAAGAGCCAGGGAGGAGCATCTGCCTATTCACTAGGGCATATGGGTCTAATTGTCATCCCCTGAAACCAAGGCTGTGACACTTTGGCTACCTTGTTCAAGGTCACTCAAAATAGTGACCTTGAACAAGGTAGCCAACTTATATTCTTGGAGTGGTTGATACACCACCAAATAAGACCTAATTTTGGGTTATTTTGGATAGGGAAGGATATACCTAAGTGTCTTCTAGTTTCACATTCAGTAGCTCTAACCTTGGGGTAGTCCTGTCTTCTCAGGGAGGCATTTGGAAACATTGTGGGAGCATCTTTGGTATGCAATGAAGGGGGTGGGCTGCGCTTCTGCATTTAGTGCAGAAAAGAGGGACACTGAGACCTGCTGTTTCTTATGATGGTTCTATGCAAGAAAAGATCTATTTCAAAATGCAAACAGTTATCCTGTTGAGCAGTACCCAACAGGCTCCTGTGAAGTTCATGAGGTAGAAGTGGGAAAACTGCCTCCATTTGGTGTGAAATCAGAGATGAAGTCACTTGTGAACAGGGCAGTACACAAGGTGGAGTTAAAAAGATGATCCACAGAGCAAAAAGGTAATGCTGGCTGCACTGGACTTGTAGCCAGTGTGGCCAACCTACTCAAGAAAGCCTGTGGAATCTTTATAAGATGAAATGGTCGGACAGATTAGGGTTCAGATTCAGATTTATAACTTACTATCTGGATAACTTTGGGGAGTCACTTCTTGGAGCTGCAGTTTTGCCTATAAAAAGGGAATAAGAAACTCATATGGTCATGAGGACTACTGAGATGTCTGAATGTGCTGGCACACTGATGAGGTAGGGAGTAAGTGTTCTGCTCTGTGGTGGCCATGATGTTCAGCTCAGCCTTATCATGAAATGCCACTCCTGGCTTTGTGCTTCTCTATTACTTTCTTATAATGGTGTTTGAAGAAATGGATATTCTACCAGATATTTGTTCTATTAAAGGCTTAGAAGAAATATTTTTAACCCAACCATCACCTCATGAACCACCACCAAAAAGCAAACAAACAGGCAAGTCCAAGGGAATAGTAAGATTTACACCTGAGAAACTGCAAACCACTGTTAGTGCACCATGCCCAAGCTGCATGGGTACACTCATGTCCATCATTTTACAAAAATGGTGATGGAAAGTTTTTTTCATGGCAAATTACAAAGAAAACAGAACTATTAAACAACAACACAGGGCCGTGAGGACAGACCCAAGAATTCAGAGGCTTAACAACTGAACAGGAAATGCATCGATTTGGTTATAAATGAAATCAGATTAAAAACAGCATGTTTAGCTACATATCACATATTCTTAATTTGCAGAATAGAGCCAAAGCCACTCTCAACCTCTCTGGATGGGCAAATGAAAGGATTTTGAACATTCATGGAGAAACCATTATATTAGCCCTTGTTTAATTCTTCCTTATTATGCTTTTCTTCCAAATTCCTCTTTTTATGTGAATTTACCAATTTCAGAGGCCAGAAAATATATACCTGCAGTAAGAAGGTGAAGGCAATCACTACATGCCCAACTAGTAAGAATTATGGAGTCCATGCACAGTTTACTGGTGATAAGGCCAACAGTCCCCTATTAATAAAGCTAAGAGTGCTGATTAAGGAGAAATTGTGCTAATCCATATCTGAAATGTTATAACCTAAACCAAAAAAAGATACTCCTTGGACAAATGACTAGGGTTCAGAAAATGCTTAACTATAGAAAATAATTTTTAAAGGATAGTTTTTATGGTAGGATTTTACTCCTAGCAAGTGGGTAATAAAGAGAAAAAGGTTTATGTTTAGTAATGCCTATTAGGGATTTTTTCCAGTTACTTCGACATGAAGTACCTTTTAATACACAAAGTACATCCTTTAAATAACCATAGCAAGGAGAGTGTACAAGAGAGACATCATGTTTGCTTTCTACAAATTTCTATGAATCCTGACATAGTAGCCTTGCTTTAGGGTAGTATGAAGGATGTTAAACTTCAAAGCAAGATGGAGGGCATTTTCTAATGAGGTAAGTGTTCAGTTCTGAGTTTCCTGATGCAGTTGGCATTCCAAGTGAACTTTACAGGAAGAGGTCAAAGCTTCAGTGTATAAACATCAGCATAACTGCTGTCCACTCCAGGGACTTGCCGTGAGGCATTGTTCAACCAGTATGTGGGGAGATGTGTCTCTTTCCTCAAGGACTTTGAGAATATAGTCCAGCCACCTTGCTCACTGGATCACATGCAGCCCTGAAGCATATACCATGTGATGGAAAGCCAAGTTTCAAGAATTAAAAATGTAGAGAGTAGTCACAATCCTGAGTGCTGAGAGGATTCAAAGAAAGACCAATAAAAAACGTCTAGGAAGTTCATGGCTGGGCCTGAAGATGAGAATTTCATTTTCAACCACAAAAAGAGTTCACCATCACCTAAGGACTGGGCTGCCTCTTGGGAGTAGGCTGACGTGAAAATCCAAATCTACTGAGGGTCTATACATGGTAATTGGCAGAAAACATGATAGAACAAAACACATCAATTCTTTTCTTTTAAGGAAAATGGCTCCTAAGGGAGAGACTGAGGTTAGAGTCCTTCTTCCACGGTCTTGTCTATTCAGCCATCCAGAGCTTGAAGGTCCTGTCATATGAGCAGGTGGCTATAAGCTGTCCATCAGAAGAAATGTCTAGACCCATCACTTTGCCTTCATGGCCAGCCAGAGTCTTCAATGGGGACCAGCCTGGGTGGGTCCAGATCTTGGCTGTGTTATCATAGGCACCAGTGAGCAAGAAGTTCCCATGGATAGCTATTGGAGAAAAGAAAGGAATGTGCCTGAGAATTCATCAAATATTCAAAGAGCTTACCAAAAAAAACCAAAAACAAACAAACAAAAAAACCCAAAAACCACACACACATAAAAACAAAAACCTGCCCAAACATACTATTTTGAAAAAGAAGGCATTTCTATACCTAGAAAAACTAAAAACATACTGATTCTATGGTTGTTTTTTTTTTTTTGGTAAAGGGGATTGAACTCAGGGGCACTTAAACACTGAGCCACATCCTCAGCCCTATTCTGTATTTTATTTAGATACAGAGTCTCACTGAGTTGCTTAGCACTTTGCTTTTGCTGCAGCTGGCTTTGAACTGGTGATCCTCCTGCTCAGCCTCCTGAGGCATGCACCACCACACCAGGCCTGGTTCTATATTCTTAGGAGGTCTCTAGGAAAAAGGGAGAACCACAGGCAGACTGAGAAGTGACAAAAGAATCTAGCTCTTTCCTTGGTAGACAAGATTAATATTACTCTTCAGAATATCCTTAGAATGTCTATGGAGAAAAGAATGAAGCAAAGCATTCACAAGTCTTTACTCTCATGTTTTTTTTTTTTTTTTTTAAATTTTTAAGTGCTTTTATTTTTTAGTGAAGATGGATATACTTATTTACTTCTATGTGGTGCTGAGGCTGGAACCC